CCCTATAAGACAGAGTAGAACTGCCCCATAGTGTTTCCAATGAGCAGCTGATGTATTCAAACTGCCAACCTTTTGGTTAGCAGCCAAACCCTTAACTACTATGCCACCAGGGCTCCGTAATTCATATAGCATACAGTAATGTACCCCTTTAAAGTGAATTCATTGGTTTTTAGTATAGTCACAGACTTGTGCAACCGTCACCATAAATCATTTTAAACCATTTCTACCACCCCAAAAAGAGAACACACAATTGATTAGCAGTCACTCCACATTGCCCCATTTTTCCCCATCCCCAGCCCTAAGCAGCCATTAATCTACTTTCTGTCTTTATGAGTCGTAATAGACTCTGTAGCAGTGAGTTTGGCTGTCTCTATAGATTTGCCTATTCTGGATATTTTATATAAAAGAAATCATGCAATATGTGGCCTTTTGTGTCTGTCTGCTTTCACATAATGTTTTCAAGGTTCATCCATGTTGTAGCATAGATCAGTATTTCATTCCTTTTTGGCCTTTTATGTCTGCCTTCTTTCACATAATGTTTTCAAGATTCATCCATGTAGCATAGATCAGTACTTCATTCCTTTTTTTTTTTTTTTTTTTTAGATTTGGAAGCAGGTTTATGATTAGGGTTAATTTTAGTGTTAAGGTGAGGTTTATGGTTAGGGTTAGGATAATTTTTAAGGTTAGGGTATGGTTTAGGTTTAGGGGTAGGTTTAGGTTTAGGGTTAGCTTCAGGTTTAGGGGTAGGTTTAGGCTTAGGGTAAGGATTAGGTTTAGGGTTAGAATTAGGTTTAGTGTTAAGTTATTTTAGGGTTAGCGGAGCCCTGGTGGCACAGCTGCTAATCAAAAGGTCAGCAGCTGTAATCCACTAGCCACTCCTTGGAAGCACTATGAGGCAGTTCTACTCTGTCCTTTAGGGTTGCAGTGAGTTGGAATCGACTTGATGGCAATGAGTTTGGTTTTTGGTTTTAGGGCTAGGGTTGGGTTTGCTTTTAGGGTTAATGTTAGATTTTGGTTTAGGATTAGGCTTAGGCTTATATATAGGTTTTACCTTTAAGTTTGGGGTTAGGGTTAGGTTTAGGTTTTACATTTAGTTTTAGGGTTAATGTGGAATTAGGGTTTGGTTAAAGTATAGAGTTAGTTTTAGCTTTAGGCTTCGAGATAGGTTTTAGGGTTAGCTGTAGTGTTAACGTTGTTTGGGGTTACGTTTAGGGTTAGGGTTTCCGTTAATGTTATGGTTTAGATATTGTTTAATAATATTTTATTGTGTTTTTGGTGAAAGTTTACACAGCAAATTAGCTTCCCTTTTGACAAATTTGCCACAAATTGTTCAGTGACATTATTTACATTTTTCATAATGTATCAGCATTCTTTTTAATTGTGTCTGGTTGTTCCATTTCCAGTGCTCTAGTTTTCCTGTCCCCTTATCTTCTCATCTTTGCTTTAGAGTAATTGTTGACCTTTTTGTCTCATACAGATTTTTTTTTTTTATTCTACTTTAGGTTAAGGTTTACAGAACAAATATTTTGTCATTAAACAGTCAGTACACATATTGTTTTATGACATTGGTTAACAACCCCACAACATGTCAACACGCTCCCTCCTCAGCCTTGGAGGACCCTTTTTTT